CCTCGGTTTCTGTCTTAGTCGGGATAAAACCGTATGTCTGCTCAAGGCGGAGGGGGTACAGGTGCCTCACCTCATGCGCAAAATCACGCGCAAACGCCTGCAGCCTAAAGGCACTCTGCTGGTTCTCGATGAGAGATGGACTTTGCCGCTCAAGCGTGACCACATCTACTTAGGAGCAGTGATTTCATATGGCCATTACGAGATGCTCAATGCCCAACATCGCAAACATGCAGGACAAGCGGCCTTTTCACGCCTACGTACCACTCTCATGTCGCACCGTGCACTATCGCTCGACAAGAGGCTGCATCTGTGGCGCACCATTGTCCTGCCAGCCACTCTGTACTCTTTGTCTTCTTCGGGATACAACAGGAAATCCTTTGATCTCATTCGGGTTTTGATGGTCAGGCAGATTCGGGCCATTGCGCGCAGTCCGCGACATCTCACCGAGGAGAGTGATCTGCATCTGCTTCAGAGGTTACGGCTACCGCAAATCCATGAGATGCTGCTTCAGGTCCACAGTCGTGTTGTCGAAGCCACCACTGTTTTGCGTCAGACCCTGAGTCCACAAGATGTACGGCTCACGACGGACATTGTACAACGGGAATGTCGGCTGCTGGAGGATTTCAAGAAACTTGAGGCAGTGGAGGGCAAAGCGGATGGTACACAGAACAGGCTCACTTGCGAGTATTGCGGGCAATCCTTCGACAATGATGCTGCCCTGCGACAACACAAAGGTCGTATGCACAGCAAGGACCGCATGGAGGCCGCACCCACGATCTTCGACAGGCAACAACATGGCACTGACGGCATGCCGCGATGCCGCGGTTGCGGGCATCCTTTCGCCAGGTGGGCGGACCTCCAAAAGCACATCGAAGAGAATCATTGCCAAGGTCAACGACAGGCGGAACCGTCAGCCCCTGAGGAGCGACCCTCTGTTCTGCAACAGGCTCGTGATGGCACGCTGCCAGTGCAAACGCTCCATTTGTCCATGATGACGGACGAGCTAAGGCAGGAATTGCTCTCACACTGTGCATGCTGTAGACAGTGGATGCCCAATTCCAGATACGTCAAGATACACTGGGGCAGAGTGCACAAAACTGAATCCCAGAAGTTTCAGGCTCGCACACTTCAGTGGCGCCGTCTCTCTTTCGAGCCTATCAAGCATACATGCTCGTGGTGTCAGGGTACAGCTGCGGATCGCTCGGATCATCGTGACACCTGTCCGGTCCTCTTTCAACTCAGTATGGTACGGGCCCTCATTGTGAGCACTGACGAGGTGGAGTCTTCTGAGGACGCGGCAGTGACGCTGGACATGACCATTCCAGCGAAGGATGACATACCGGCGTAGAACATGGAATGTATGTTGTGTCGTGAATCTTGCACTGCCAGACACTTTGACCAGAAGCACCATGTGGTTTGGAGTCAGGCTCAACCTAAAGTTGACTTGCTTTGCGCGGCGTGGGCAAAGGGGCTTGAAACTAAGTGTCAGTTTTGCAACGGTACCTACAACAAGCGCAATCGGCATGCCATCACCTGTCCTGCTATTACACAGACTGCCCTGGCGCGCGTGTTGAGCCATACCTCTGCCCCGGCAACGAGTGCACCCCCAGCAGATGGCGACTGCAATGACCCCCGGTGCAGCACAGGCGGCGATTCAGGAGGTGTTCGGGTCTCTGGTCGCGGAGAGCGGGCCGCTGATGGACTTCGGCGCGAGCCTCAACCTGGGCAAGCGCAACGCGGAGACTCCGCAAGGGCCCCTGACAAGCCGCCCAACCAAAACGGGCCGCCTCAACAACGGCCAAAAGGGAGGGCGCGGCAAAGGAGGGCGTCCTTGGCACCAGCAGGGCAGACGCTTTGTTTCCGAGTCCAGCCAACAGCAGCAACAGGAGGAGGTGAGCATGGAGGACCTGTTGCGACTCCTATCTTCGATCATCATGCGACACGAGGACCAGTTGAAGATTATGAGACAATCGACGGGATGGGTGTTGTTCGCCAAGACAGCAGCTCCGTCCATTGTACCGGGGATCATCAAAGCCTCCATGAAGTGGAAGGCCGAAATAGTAAAACCGGACTGCCAGTTCGCTCACGTGAGCTTGCGTGCGATCCTCTTCTGGAATCTGGTGGAGCAGATGCTGGCGGTGCTCCAGGGACTCACCACGGAGATGAAGGACAAGGCTGTGGCAGAGGGGTGGATGAACAGTTCGGGAGCATGGGTGTTTCAGGAGTGGTCTCACGAGAAGCATTGCTTGCAAGTCGACAGCAACAAGACCCCAACGACAACGGAGGATCTCCTCAACACCCTGCGGGAGCTGAAAACTCTCGCGACCTCGGAGGTGATTTCGGCGTTCTTCTCGAATCGGCCATTGACGGAACACATGCAAGGACACATGGTAGTGTTCCAGCTGGATGTGTCATTCAGAAAGGAGGTGGCGCACCGCTTCTACGTGCTGTTGGAAGCTCTTCAAGGGCAGGCTTCCCTTCAACTCTGCGGGGTACAACTACGCAAGGAGGGCTTTCGCCGGTCGCCGGCGGTACAGAAGCTGGCAGAGATGCTTCGATGAGGACGCTCATCCTGCGCAACCCTTCCAATTACTGTTACATGAACTCAGTGATACGGAGCTTGCTGTGGACCATTGTGCAGGACCCCATGCTTGATGGCTCTTTCAACAGCGCTGAGCTCACCTTCCTTAAGAAACTTCTGCAACACCAACAACAACCCGTGTTTATCGCAGGTCAGTTGATGTTCAACTTTGCCCTTCGAGGATGGAGGTCACCGGCAATGCAACACGATTGTGCAGAATTCTTCTCACACATCATTGACCGCTTGGGCATCACAGCGTTTGAAGGAGAGTGGGAGGCCCGCACTACGATTGAGGACCCTCCGGGACGGTTTCGGTGTGAGTGCTCTGATGCTGGTCGATGTACGCAGGCGATATCAATCGACCTACCTGAGGGGCGAGTGCACACTGCTCAGTATCTCCTACGCTGCTGGCACACGCAGGCTCACCCACATGCCTTGAAGGTCGCGCCAGCTCTTCTGCTGCTGCGCTTTTCTAGATATGTACAGGCGGGACGTAGGATTAGAAAACGAGCCTGTAAGATCACTTGGCCAAAGCAGCTTCACATGCCACTTTTCAGGGGGAATGATGACCAGTCATCAGGCACGATCGCCTACGATGTGATAGCAGCCATTTCGCATCATGGTCCCAATCTGAGTGCAGGGCATTATACCACCTTGCTCCATGCAGCAGGGGGCGATCTTCATTGCGATGACAATACCGTTCCAGAGTTCAGGGCTAAGGCCTCAGGAGACATTACACCATATTCGTCCAGTACAGTTTATCTTTTGGTATGCAGGCGCACAACGGAGTCTGGCCCTTTGTTGGTCGGATGAATGCGATCTTCTTTCATTTTGGGAACCCACAGCCCTGCCAGCACAGGTCACTCCTGGGGTGAAGTGAGTGACGGTCCACCGGCTGTGACATGTTTTCTAGGGGATTTGCTCTCAGTGCAAAATCAGTGGAGCTTGCTAATGTCTTCAGTGCGGCCGTGCATCAGCGTGACTCTTGACTCATCACATTGTACAGCTGGGCATGCTTGCCGGTGCACTCCAGTTCCAGCTTTTCTTTCGTGTGCGCCAGCATGAACTTACAATTTCGCGATACATCACGGTGCAAGCTACATCTTTTACACAATGGTTTCTTGGGCATGCACTGGTTTTCAACATATGACGAGCACACATGATCCGGATGCCACCATCTATGCGCCCTGGTTTGTGGAGGGGCGCTTTGATGCGAATCTTTACTATCATGATTGGCCGGATCCTTATGAGCCCACATCGCCTACAGTGCTTGATTCCGATGGGCAATCCAGTTCTTCTGCACATACAGTGGAATACATTCGCGATGACAGTGTGGATGATGGACCGCTCATGCTGCGTTTGTCATTCTATGTAGGTACTCCCAGTCTGCCGCTGATCGAGCCTGACCCTAGTCACACCGCGGAGTGCATGGCCAGGCACTTTCTACGCGTTGGCAGCTTCTTTGAGGATCAGCTACCTTCGTTGTGGGACCTACTTCCACATGACAGCCCACGTGGACATCAAACACTTCTGGATGGTGGATTCTCATTCACCACAGGTGCTTTTCAGGCTGGTGGCTTGGTCGGCGTACGTAGCAACGCGCTTCAGATGCCATGGGTCACTGCACTGCTTTGTCGTATTGTGCACTCTGTTCTGCTTGGCGAGGGGGCTGAGGATTACCACTTCACTTCGCTTACGCTTTTGCGGAATGTGCATTCTGGCATACATCGAGATGGCAACAATCATCCTTCATGCAACAACTTGCTTATACCCTTGAGCCGCTTCTCTGGCGGTGAATTATGGTGCTACAATGCTGCTTCAGGGGATGTTTGCTATCCGGGCACTGATCTGCCAGGGCTGGCTCATGCGGTGACTCCACCTTTTCTGGAGTTCGACTCACGTGAGCTGCATGGCACTCTTCACTGGACTGGCGTTCGTGTGATACTCGCGGTGTTTCATATGAAAACTCCGGAAGACTTGAGTGATGGCGAGATGCAATTCCTACGGCAGGTGGGTTTTCAGCCGTTGCTTTCCAGTGAGATGAGTGAGACCACGTTGCGGTAGTGTGAGCCGTAACTCTAGAGTGCTGCGCCTTGCTGTAGTTCTGTAGTGCTTGACTTTTGAGTGACTTCCGGCTAATGCCTGTACTCGTTCCAAGTAGGTACCGTGATTTGTACAGTCGTTGTGACTTGGCGATGTAACGAGTTGCCCGGTCCTTTCTCGTAGTGTCTTCTGTAGTCTTACTGAACTTGTGTGTCGTGCACACGAGTGCAATCTTTTACGCTTTCTGTAGTTTGCTGCATGATCACATCGCTTTTGGGTGCTACACCGGGTGTGATCTGCTGTGTTGCTTTTGGTGCTTAGGCACGGACATGGCTGAGACCTTGAGTCTCCGGGCTGTAAGCCTGTTAGGCCTACTCTAGGCGACCTTCGGGACAGGACGCTGAGTGTGAAAAAAAAAAAAAAAGAGCCGGCAAGGGAAAGACCAAGCACACTGGCACGGAAGGCTCTGGCGGCAGAACAGGCGAGCAAGGCAGACCATTGGGAGGTGAAGGCTGCGCCACGGGAACAAACCCGGTGAAACGAGCCACCAAGTAACCTCCTTGTGCAAATCCTGAGCAGCAGTGCCTAGGCCCCACGCACACAGATGCATCGGAACGATGCGAGCCCCTAGCTGGGCCAAGCTCCTAATCGAGGGCAGGTCCCAAAGCTTAGGGAAAACCCCCGAGGGGGCGGGGCTTTCAACCAGAAACTCCCGTCCCGCTGCAGCAAGAGCCAGGCAAAGCCGGGCGGTAGCATCCGCAAGCTGATTCCCAACGACCTCTGAAGGCTGAGAGCCGTCCCCTTCAGGCACGGCAAACGTACGAGTACCGCCGTTTTGCTTCTGAAAGTCACGGAAGGACGTGCGTGGTGGGCTGAACTGCCAAACATTCGGCGCCGAGGGCTCTGGCGACGAAGCTAAAACCAGCAGGCGGTCAAAAACAGGCTGCCGCAAGACATCGTGATCGTCGCGGGCACCACGCTGGTGAACAGGGTCTTCGAACAGTTCCACCGGCGGGGATACCACAAGCCCAGCCTGTTTAGCAGCGGCGCTCCAAACACCGCCCGCAAAGACCTCCTGGACATGAAGTCCAGATGCAAACGAGGGACGTGACGACAACTGTGACTGAGTGAACTCGGCCGGAGCGGCGGGGTCCCAATAGTCTTCAGCCTGCGAGCCCGCCTTTAGCGGAGTCTGAGGGCGGCGGCACCTGTAGCAGGGATGGGGCTTGGAAGGGAGGAGCTCCCCTTCGCCTCCCAGGTCCTCGAGGTACTTTCCCCATCCCTCGACTTCGATATCACGCACACACCTCTCAGCCGCCGTGGCAGTCTCCAGCAGACGGGTGGCTATGGACTCAGAGAGGGGAAGGACCCTCATATGCCCGATGAATGATGACTACTCCGGTAGCAGTACAGGCGGAACGCCCTCGGAGGACATCGAGTTCAAGCTGCCCTTTATGAGATAGACGCAACACCAACAGGCGTCGGCCGGTCATGAACTCGGTACCAAAGAGCTGAAGAACGCGGTAGTCCTTTTCGTGATGGGCGCAGATGCAATCGTGCGCCACAACGCACAAATGCCTCAGCACTGCTCACGTGCGGGGCCGCGTCCCCCAGCATCCCAAAAGCCTCAAGACTGCCAGCCCACAACTCACGTCGAAGTGTTAACGCCTCATTGAAGACACTGAAGGCGGCAGCAACATGTAGGCACAAGCACTGCCGCTGCTCCAACAGCGTGCAATCGACCTCTTCGCCAAGCGCACGGGAGAGGTCCGGATCAAGCAACAGGCGGTCCTTGTAATCGTGGACCGGAAGCTCGCCGAAGTCTCCCCAGATCGGGCCCTGGAGTTTCAACGTCCCTTTTCCAGGGACCGTCCCCTCTTCCCACTCGAAAAGAGTGAACTGGGCGTCGACCTCCGCCTCCGCATAACCGGCCTTGAAGCCTAAGCGCTCAAAACAACTTTGGGCCTCCTCAGCGAGCTGCGGATGCCCGTAGTCGATGGCATTTGCCAAGATCTGCTCGACAGAGCATTCGGCCCCGCCCAGCCTAGCATTAACAAGGTGCGAGGCTATGTGGGACTGAAGATGCCAGCTATCGTGGGAGAAGGGCTCGAGAAGGCCTTCCCCTTTGATTCATAGACTGATTGCCGTTCGGCGGCATCAGCTTGAGACAAAGGAGTGGTATCAAACATACCATCTCCTCTGAAGGAACTATGCCAAGACCAATCGGGGCCCTGGCCTAGCTCTCCAAGCTCCTTCTCCAATTGCGTAACAGGTCCCTGGTAGTCTTCAGGGATCTCCCAGCCAGCCTTCTCCTTTGCCTTCGCCTTGGGCTTGGCCTTAGCTTTTCCCTTCCCAGCTGGCTCAACCTTGGAGTCTTTATCGTCCTTAGCCTGAGCTCGGAGCTGGGCAATCCTGCCGTCGACATCCTTAGGGTTAACCTTAGGGCTCCCTTTCAATCCTCCTCTGCGCAAAACCTGCATGGCAACCGTGTAGTCCAGCTTCTGCATGGGCGGAAGTGGTTCGTGAGCATGAGGACAGTTAGCCCTGTGACACCCGATGTGGCAGGCAGCGTCCCAGCAGATAGGTTTCTGCGTCTTCGGATCGTAAGGTGCATGCTGGATGGACCTTTTGATTTCCAGTTGGGTTAGACGCTTGCCTGCGGGGATAGGCCCGGTTCGGGTCATCCCCCTGCCCACCTGTCTTATCTTCAACCCGTAGTGTGAGCCGAGGGGCTCTGCCGGACTTGTTGGCTCCCTCGGATGGAGCATCCTCGGGCTCAACTTCAGTAGGCCCGGCCGTCTTGCGGGTATCCTGCTTCTTTTCACGGGTGACATGTTCGTGAAGCTGCTTGCTGAGCAAGCGAGACATGGCTCGATCCTGCCGGGACAAGACATCCTTCTGATAAAAACCCTCCGGGTCTTTCAGGTCCCAGACTCTGGGGAACTGAAAGCTTGGGTGTCCGTCGGGTCCAGGAGCGAGAGCAATCAGCTTGAGGTCCTCCGTCCGTGGATTCTCCGTACCTAAGCGGGAGCAGAGAACCCTACGCTTTTCCCTCAAAGCTTCACACCATACCGCTGAGAGTTCCTCAAACAACTGCACGCAGTAAGTAAAGGGGAACGCATGCTCATCTTCCTCATGAGCTTCCCTCAGTGCTTGGAGGAAACGCATACGCTCCGCAACATGCTCCAAACCGTACGCGCTACCGAAAACTTTTACAGAATTCGCTGCGTACCTGAGCCAGGTGAGGAACGTAGTTGGGGCGCGGGTGCGACTCTCAAGTTTGTGCTCCGTAGGCGAACTCCAACCCTCGATCTGCTCGGAACGAGCAGTAGCGCAGTCGGAGGCCAGTAGAGTATACCCTTCGGTGCCCCCCCACCAGAGGCCGGCTATTGCAAGTGCAACACGGTTCGTGATAAGCACTGGCCATTTGATCAGATTGAGTTCATGTTTGGCGTGATTGGCGGCTCTTTTGATGCTGTGGAAGAGCTCTTTTCCATACACGCCTTCACAGAGCTCTATCGTCAGGTCGCCGCAGCCTCGTGCTAGGAAGACATCCAACTTCTCTCCCTCCTTGAGGGAACCCAGCTGCCCTTTGGTCCCAAAGTTGAGCTGCCGGCTGAAGGGAAAAAACTCTTTCCACCTTGGAACCCTGGCCTTGAACTCGCCTTTAGCAAGGGGTTCTCCGAGGTGCTTCAGAAGGTGGAGGTAAGGGTGGAGGTACCCCAATGAGGTTCCAAGTCGAGCCCAGGACGGAACGTCAGGAACCTTAGCATGGCTGCCCAGGGCCTCCCATCTTCCAAGCAGAAGACACTGCACCTTCTCGGGTGTAGACCCATACGCCCCAGCAACAAGTGCAATAGCCTCAGTCAAGGACGCTCCTTCGGAGCGTGCTTCTGTGAAAGCGTCGAGCACCCCTTCCTCATCAAGGGGTTCTGCACTCTCCTCACGAGGACTATGCGGCTTGAAGCTGACCTGTGGCTGGGGCGCTCCGAGGGGCTGGGGCGGTGTCCCAAAAGCAGTCTCATCGTGGGCTCTCTTCTCTCCAACAAGTACTCTCCCCTCTTCATGAGCCAGCAAACACAGATCCGGCCGTTTGGACATGCGGGCGACACACTCGGCATCAAGGGAGGTAGGGAGCTCACCCTTTTGGGCCACTCTTTTCCCATCCCACTGGTGCACCCACTCCCAGGCTCCAGGCGCAAGACGAGCGGCCTGCCTATTTACACCTCGCCTCTCGAGTTCCTGGGGTGGTTCATGGAGGAACTCCTGGAGCCAGACCTTGGGATACCGTCCTTGTGAGTCGGTGGTCGGGGGTGGTGTGACCACATGCCACGGAAAACTCACATGCACGTCCAAGCTGTGGACGTGAACTTGGCAGCGCTCCGAACGCCGGCCATCAGGCGCAGCTCCCTCGATCCTTCCCAGGAAAAGATACCAGTTGCGAGACTTCCCTTGCCCAAAGAAAGGGCAAAGGCGAACGAGCACAGGTGAACCAGCCTCCGGATGGGACAGCCTCTCTAATGCCAGTCCGGGGCTAACCGGGTCCTTTCCATTATGGAACCGGGTCCTACGACTTATGTTGTTGATGTGACATGGAATGTAGCAAGACATGTGTGTTCTTGTGACTCAATGGAAGACATGCTGGACATGTGAAAACTTGTGCTCTTGCGGCTCAGTGGAAAAACAAAACCTGAAAACTTGGTCTCTTCCAAATGAAGATGCATACCTGAAAGACTGTGTTCTTGTGGGTCTATATGGAAGAAGCGAGATGCTGGACATGTACAAAAAGATGTGTGCTTGTGGCTCGATAGAAAAATCAATGCCTGAAACTTGGTTTGATCGAAATGTGAAAACATGTACATCGAAAAATCAAAGCCATACTGACATAATTGCCTGTCCCAAGTTTTGTAGTTCACATGGAATTTCTTTGTTGCAAAATATTTTTGAAGATCAAAATATTTTTTGAAGATTCGTTTGTGCCGAGCAAACCAAACATATGCAACTTGGTGTTCTTGTGGCTCAACGAAAACAAGAAGCTTGAGATTTTGTGTTCTGAAACCCTAAAGTCAGCTTTTTGTACCATTCACAACGACTTGAAAATTAGCGTGTGCGTTCATGATTAAACATCAAAGGGAAGCTGAACTTTCGTAACGTCCAGCCCATGCCCTAAACCCTGAACCCTAAACTCTAAACCCACCCAACCCCCAAACCCGCCCACCCATTCAAGCCCAGAAGCTGCAGGTAGGAAGGGGCACACAGGTAGGTAGAGAGGTATAGTTAGGTAGGCAAGTAGGTATGGATAAGTAGATTGGCAGGAGGGAAGGTACTTGTTGGTGTAGGTGGGTCGGCAGGCTTCCAGGTCGGTGGGTAGGTAGATAGATAGCTAGGTAGGCGGGCATGTAGGTAAGGAGGCATTGATCAGGAAAGAGGCTTAAAACCCCTAAACCCCTAACCCCTAAACCCTGAACCCTAAATCCAACACCCGAAACCTTCAACTAAGCCTCAACCCTAAAAGGTAGCAGGCAAAAGTAGTTGTAGGCATTCGTGCAGGCCCTGTCAGGATGTCAGGTGGCCACATCAAGGTCTTCGGAGCCCCGTACAGGGGCGTACCCGCCCCAAGGCCTGAATGGGCCGCGGGATGAACCCCGAATAGGGGTGAGCTTGGACCCCGAAGAGGGGTCGTCGGAGCCCCGTACAGGGGCGTACCCGCACCAAGGCCGAAAGGGCTGCGGGATGAACCCCGAAAAGGGGTGAGCCTGGACCCCGAACAGGGGTCGTGAGAACCCCGTGCAGGGGTGTGGATGAACCCCGAACAGGGGTGAGCTTGGACCCCGAACAGGGGTCGTTAGAGCCCCGCACAGGGGCGTACCGATGAACCCCGAAAAGGGGTGAGCCTGGACCCCGAACAGGGGTCGTGAGAACCCCATGCAGGGGTGGTGGATGAACCGCGAACAGGGGTGAGGATGAACCCCGAGCAGGGGTGAGCCGGACCCTCAAAGACTGATGCAGAGAGAGAGAGAGAGGGAGAGAGAGAGAGACACAGCGAAAATAATTAACGAAGCAAGGAAGGAAGCAAGGAAGGAAGGAAGCAGGGAAGGAAGAAGGAATGATCAAGATGAGGGTGTGACTGTAGATGCGAGGAATGAGCAGGCAGCAAGGAGTGATGTGAGGGAGGCGGGA